TTGATGGAGATGTGAAGTCGGCTATGGGATATGTATATCCTGCAATGGAATTGACAAAAGCAGCAATAGCCAAAGCCTTCAACAACAACCAATCCAAGTACAAGAAAGTGTTCGACATAATAGACACAAGATGGATTTCTCAAATTCATCAGCCGTTGCACGCAGCTGCTTTCTTCTTGAATCCGGATTTCTTTCGATTTCCAGGTGAGTCACCAGTATCTTCAACCATAAATTCAGCTGAAGTGGTGAGTGGGTTTTATGAATGTTTGGAGAGGTGTCCATTTGAGAATTAGGACGTGGACTATTTAGCAGTTCATTTGCAAAGAAACAACGAGGCGTTAAACCCCCAGGTTAATATTTATTCATCAATTTATATTATTTAAAAAAATTATTACAATTTAGAGTGGCTTTAACATTTAAATTCATTTTATAGTTGATTGGTGGACATCTTTCGGTGCCAGTGCTCCCCATTTAAAGGAATTTGCAATTAAGCTTCTCAGCTTAACAACAAGTGCATCGGGATGTGAGAGGAACTGGAGTGTATTTGAACATGTAAGAATAGTTATTCTAATGCAAGAGTGTAGGTCAATTTCAATTTTTCCATTCATTTGACTAACTGGAAAATTTTAATTACTTAACAGTTGCATTCGAAGAGGAGAAGTCGTCTCGAATACAATCGCCTCAATGATTTGGTATTTGTTAAGTACAATAGGGCTTTGAGACATCTTTGGGAAATGCGTGATTCTATAGATCCTATTTGCTTGGATTACATAGATATGGCAAATGAATGATTGACCAGTGTAGTTTATGATGCGAATGAAGAGTTGGTCTTTGATGACGGAGATGATTTGACCTGGGGAGATGTTGCGAAGTTTTCTGATGTACATGATACGCCATATTCTCTTAGACGCAATTCTAAAGGGAAAGATAAAGCAGAAAGTTCCAAGTCCAAGGGAAAAGAAAAAGCCTCCACCCGTAGACTTGTTGATGAAGATGAGGACGAAGATGAGGAGGATGTTGGAGTCTATGATGATGATAGTGAGGACTTTGATACTTTAGTTATGGGTGAAGAAGAACAAGGCCGGTTTGATGACGAGGAGGATGAGACAATGGAATGATGAAGATTCTAAGAACCTTTTTTAAAATTAAAACTATGAAATTATGTGATGAATGTTTTTATCTATATGCCGCACTAGTATTACCCTTATGACTTTTATGATTAGTTATGTGTTTTTGCGTAATTGTGTGATGAAGGTTTTGAAACTTTATGCCGCACTAGTATTATTTTGAATGACTTTTATGACTACTAATGCATTTTTGGCATAATAATACATTATATTTTATATTTTCTTTTATTTTTTAAGCATCGCTTTTTGTGAGAAAGCTACGCTTCGCTTAGCGCTTTCGCTTTTAAGCAAAGCTCAAGGTCATCACTTTTGGCCGCTTTTCGCTTTAAAAAAGTTTGTGTATACGTGGACCCATCCATGATTGAAGTAGTGATCGAATGGCGTGCACCTACCTCGGTCACAGAGGTAAGAAGTTTCTTACGATTAACGGGTTACTATTGGAGATTTGTTAAAGATCTCTCCAAGATAGCAAGACCGCTAACCAACTTGATGAAGAAAACAACCAAGTTCCAACGGAATGAAGATTGTGAAGCAGCATTCCAAGAGTTGAAGAAAAGACTCACAACCGTGCCGGTCTTGACACTACCGTCAGGGACGGAGGGGTTCGATATCTACTGTGATGCATCCAAGAAGGGATGGGGTGTGTGCTAATGCAAAATAAGAAAGTGATGGCTTATGCATCAAGACAACTGAAAGTGCATGAAGTCAACTATCCTACTCATGACTAGAGTTAGCTGCGGTAGTGATTGCTTTGAAGATCTGGAGAAATTACCTATACGGAGCACAATGTAAGATATGTACACTAACCACAAAAGTTTGAAGTACATATTCACTCAAGAAGAGCTTAACATAAGGCAAAGAAGATGGCTCGAGCTTATCAATGATTACAATCTAGAAATTCAATACCACGAGGGAAAAGCAAACATGGTGGCGTATGCTTTGAGCCGAAAACCTGAGCACTCATGTCAAGCGACGTATATACTACTGGAAGAACTATTCCGAGACTTCCAAAGACTGAACTTAGAGGTAAAGCAATATGGCGAGGTAGATAGTGAGATACAGTTATGTACTATGACCATTACACTATCTATCTTTGAGGAAATCAAGAACGGAAAACCGAGAGATGTAAAGCTCGAAAGAATCAAGGGAGGAATGAAAGATGGCATGAACGATTCAAGACATATAAGATGGGAGCATCCGATACAAGAGAAGGTGGTGTATTCCGCTGAAGTGTGCCGATATTAAAAAACAAATCATGGAGGAGAGACACAACACTCCCTACTCGGTATTAAAAAGCAAATCACGAACATGCAAAGAAAAAATACTCACAAGGTCCTCACTAGTCACCACATTCCTAGGAGGTCATTTCCTGGCTATCTTATTTCACTAGTGTTTACAAAAACATTTTGAAAATCCCTGTTTTGAAGGTATGATTTCCAAGGTTTCGTTCAAGGATTCCGAACGACGAAGTTTCAACATAAGGAGAAATTCCCAGATAGTTGAACTTTATGAGGACGATAATTTCATTGTAAGAAACATCAACGTTGGTGGAATCAACAAACACGGGAGTACTAGATATAATACGTAATGAATCTAGTGATTAATTATTTTGAATGTACTAAATATAATGTGAATGTTAAATATGACTTATGAGACTCAAGTTTAAGTGGAACCTACTAAAAGGGAAAATTATGAGCCATTTTGAGCGATACCATGACTACTCGTCCGTGTTTTTTTGTCATGTTTGATGGGAGGGTAGATGTACTGATGTGCAGTTGTCATTAGTGGAGCGCAGAATAGCAGAGGAGAAAAACATTACAAATGCAACCATGCAGGGAAGATTGAACTCATAGAAACAATGTTGTGCTGGTTGCTTTTGCTTAAGAGTGCTTCCATTTTCCTCCAAATTGACTGTTATGGGCCCATTCATGGGCCGGGATTACCATTGCAGACAGAACCGAGAAGGGACTGGGCCCAAAAGGCTAGTTGTGCAAGGCTAAGATTCATACTGCCTTCAACATCGGCTAGCAAGTAAGATAGATAATCTGTTGAAACAGCACAAGGTGCCCTACTAGGACTGAAAAAAAAAACAGAGCGAGACCGAGCCGAATAAAAGTGACCAAATTATAGGGGGGCTAGGGTACGGTTTAAGGGTTTATGCTTTTAAACTGAGCAAACTGATGAAAATAGAACAAAAATGCCATAATTCACTGAAACCAACACAACCAACCAAACATAACTGAAACTGATAAATACTACTCAGTTCGGTTCTCTGTTCAGCATTTCTCAAGACAAAATCCCTTGGGCCCACACTGTCGGAAATTAGCATTTAGCGTCACTGGACATGACATCTACTGTCCTCCGTCGCTTACCAACTTTACAGGTCAAAAAAACTGGGGAGTCTTCGAACAGCTTGTGCACTTGGGGAAGCTACATGGTTTTTTTGGAAGGTCAATCATTCCATGAAAGCTTCCCTGCTGTAAAGCTTGAGGCAGAGCTTTTTGACAAAGGGGGAGTGATATATGGACCCACTTAAGGGCCGGGTTTACCACCACACAAGGTTCAGAGAAGGATTGGAAGAAAAGGCTAGTTGTGCTGCTCAAGTCTAACTACTTAAGTTGTTTCCTGTGATTAAACTTTTATTAATGAGCATCTTAACTACTTTTTAGCTCTGGGATCTTTTTGGGACTATATGAGGCCCATGAGTTGGAATAATAAAATTATCTTTTCTGAAATTAGTTTGTTTTTGCGTAAGGTGAACCTGCAAACTGCCTAGGGCATGAGTTGGGTTAATTCCAGAACACCATAGCTTTGCTATGTTGAGTGTCCCGTATCACTTGCCGATGGGGTTCGAGTCTAGTCTAGTGATCTAGTCTAGTTTATATAAGTGTGAGGTAAGCTTTACCTTTTGACAATTCTTTTGGGATAAGTTAGCCTCACCTTAACAACGTTAAAGCCATCTGACAAATTTGCATCTTCACAAGCTTATTACTTCTTTAGGAGCGAAGGACCCGATCTCCAATGGTCCAAGCCCATCTGGTCCATCTGAACACGCCTGAAGCATGTGCTTATCTCTTGGCTTACATGAAAGGGAGGGTACTAAGGATAAGATGGGCCACTTGGATAATATGGACACTGAAACAACTAGCCATTTCTTAAATGTAATGTCACAGTTTTTTCACAAGTTTCAGCACATAGCTTGATAATTTATTTTCACCATTGGCTCCACCCGGTCTGTATCATACTCTGATTTGCTATTCTATTGTCCATAGAGTTCATGTTTATATGAACCTATACCACCACATCCCTCACTTGATGAAGAGGAATAGGATGAAGATGTCCCTCATTAAATATTTCTCCCTCATTACAATAGAATGCCTATGCTGTTTTAAGCTTTTAGAAATAAAGCTCCACAGAGCCTAGAAAAATCCATAATAAAGGAGTAAAAAGCATTTTGCAAGAAGGGCATCTTCCATCCTTCTCATCTCACCACGCTTCTATATTCAATGGTTCAAATACTATCCTCCTTACTTCACAAGTACTAGTCCTCTGTTATCAGAAACTTGAAGCTTCTTTAATGGTTTTGTCAGCTTGTACATGTACACCTCCAAGAAATGTAATAAAAGACCCCTCATGTGCTAGCATGGTGCCACCAAAAAGGCCCGTGATTAATTAATCCACTACATATGGTTTCCAGTACACTTGGGTTTGTTGATTCCATCAAGCATTAAAGATTACTCTTTAAATTTTCTTTTCCAATACACATTGGGTCAAAAGATTACACGTTCTTGCTGATGGATTTTGTATTAGGTTGGTAATTAGTTTGTGCATTACAAATAAATACAGGATGTAAGTGCCTATTTTGATTCTTACCTCAAAAACATTGGAAAGCTCACAATAAAGTAGATCGCATAAAACAAGGAACCGATTTTGTACATGGATGCCCGGTCCACAAAGTCATAATATGGGAACTGCACATTTTAGAAAAAATGAAAATTAGTGGGGCTTGACAGCAATGTCTCCAATGATGCATAAATATTTTTAAGAAGACATCTTATTGAAATGCAGCTCACTTTAAGATGATCGTTTGGTAGGGAATAGACAAAATGAAGCTAATCTATCTGGAGTCATGATGAGGGGCTAAGAAAAAAGTTGCACTGTTCAGATATAGAGTTGGGCTGAGAGGGTTGTATGTCCATAGGAGAAAAAATTGTACCGTCAAGGCGAAGTATCGTGACTATGAGGGGGAGTGGGAGTGTTTCCCACATCTATTAATTATAAAATCACAAATATATATAGAAGAATCAGATTACTCCTCTTCCTATCAAGTTGAGGACTCGCAAAATAAAACAACTCATAAAACAATATGTGTTTACAACATACATTGGAAATGGCAATGGTCTCCAGATATGCTATAAAATAAGAAAAAGCTAGGATCCAGCTGGCTTTCAGAATCAACTGAGTGTTTTCTGGCAAGTTAGCAATAGCTGCCTGTAGTCTACGGAGAGTTATGTTGGACGCAACATGGTAAAACAGGAAACAGACATGTGCAAGAAGAAATGTTGTGTGGGGCACCTGAAATATGACAATGATGTTGTTCTAAGGAGAGTGAAAAACAAGCAAAAGATCGATATGGGGTGTCAAAGTTTGTGTATTTATACTTACATCATTCATTTTCCAAGAAGGAAATGTATATGAAGCCCCCAACACTGTGAAGAAATAATGAGTCCAAAAGTAATTTCCAACATAGCAAAATATTAATATCCAGAGATTGGCCTGGTGTAACATCAACTTTGTTTGTCAACAATAATAATAAAAGGTTTTTTCTAGAATATTACTCAGTTAAAGCTTAGGGACAAAAATGTGACTAAAGTTACTATGTTTATAAATTCATGGTCACTACAATACAAAATTGAACATAATCATTGTCACGAAAGTTACTATTATAGTAACTTTAAATTAGATGTCACAATTTTGTCCATCATCATTATTTTAATTATATATATGCCATTATTTCTAATAATAATTGCCATAACAATAATGAAACAAATATACATAAAATTTCACACTTATTAAAAACGATCAAATAAAATGCATACTAAGAGAAGTCCCCCTGTCAGCTATCTTACTGAACAAAACCTAGATGATGATCATCAAAATCATCTCAATCCCAACTATGCTGAGGTATGTCGTCGGTGGCATAAAATTTAACGGCAACTTATCTTAATATTTGGTGTACTGCTTTCTATATTTGCCATCTGTAGACTGTAACAGACTACACATTGCATGTAATAAAAAATACACCAAATATTGAGATAAATTGCCTCAACGCTTACAACTAAGCGTCTGAAAATTTCCTTTTCAAGAATACTTGCCTTTACCCAGTACCTTTCATGCCAATGAAGTCTTTTATCAGCCTGCAAAAACAAGTAAGTAAATCTCTTCATTAGCAGTCTTGGCTACACAATAGTCATGCACAATCAACACCCAGAGGAACACTATCCAGCAAATAGAATTTAAAGTATCTTCTGTGGTATGACACCAATAAGCAGAGCCAATGTTTAAAGGGGAATTTCCTAAAACAGGAGTACGACAATGTGATATTCCAAAACAGGAGTACATTACCGTCACTATGAAATCAAATCGCCATATTTTGGCAATATGAAGCTTTAATATTGATAGGAGCCCCGATTCACTTAATATAAATCCTAATAGAGAACTCACAAGGGTTTACACTAGAAGGTATAGGAAGAGGATAGAAGAGTCTTTTTCATAATTCTGAAGGGAGAAGCAGAAAATCAATCAACTGATTGGGTGGTGGGACCCGAAGAGCAGAAGAATAGAGCAAGGCACAGGAGGAGATAGAGGATTATTTTTCTGGCAGTCGGTTGTAATAGGAGAGAGGCCCTCTCGAATGATCTCACCTTTTTATGTATTTCCTTGTTCTGCCAGTCTTTCTTCTCCCTTCCATTGTTGCCTTCCATCTTTCTGTCTCTGTACTGAACTTATTTACCTAATATATCACCTATATTGAGCCGGATAGTGTGTGCTCTATCAAATATGGTAGTATTAATGTATTAATGACATACATGATTGGCAGTATTTCTTAAGCATGACAGTAATTACTCGTATTTAGAAGGGGGGAAACACAATACTCCTATTTTGGAATATCACATTGTTTTTACTTAGATTTAGGGCAATTTCTGTGGTTTAAAAAGAAACATTTAAGTCATGAAACATTTTGTATTTGTGGGCAAGGTGTAAGGTTTAGGGCAATTTGAATCTTAACCTAAAACTTTTCACAGAACTGCCTTTACAATTTAACTTATTAGCAATCTAAAACATAGTACCATAAAATAAGTCATAGTCATAGAGAACTGCCATAAGTTTAACTCTCTAAAATATGAAGACGTATTATGCTGAATAAAATCCGAGGGAGGTGTAAAGATGAAAAATACAGAGAAGAAATGGCTGAATACTTGAGATTTTGATACTTTGGACTATTGGAGCAAGTTGAATAAAAAACATTAAAGAAGTTATGTTGCATCTGTTGTTACACTTCAAATACAACAACATCCAGGCATGAGTCCTAAAAGAGTTTGGGGTCGGCTAACATGAATCAACATATGAAATTGAAAGAAAAAAATAGCCATAGTAGCTAAATGACTCCGTATCTTTGCAACTATGCGGCTTAGGATGTTTTTACTTGGACTGTTTTCAATCCCAGACCAGACCAGATTAAACCAGACTTGGACAGCTATAAAATACAGACCAAACATTTACGAGACCAGACCAGACCAATTCAGACCAGATCAAACCAAAAAATTCCAGTCCAAGTAAAAACATCCGTAGAACTAAGAGGCGAGAAAAAAAATTAAAACTAAAATGTAAATGCATGAGACTTGAGCCCAAGTCCATTCACTTGTGGCCTAAGCCAAGGCTTTTTTCACCGCCTCTCCTCAAGGCAGGCGCCTTCACGAACGCCATCAAAACCATGACCATGGTCAGAACTTAGAATTGCATCGCATAGTAAAAGGAAGTCTTAGCATATTACCTTTCCAACAAAAACTATTGGTATTATGAAAGCAGGAAGTGCTGAAACAAGTGCCAAAAGCAGGTACTCCCATTCTGTAAAATTCTGTTGGAAGATAATATGATGCAGAAGCCAAAGTTATGAACCAGCAATGTACTATTCTACGAATTTGTGATTAGACTGATTACTAAACAACAACAATAAGAAATACTATTGTTATTATTATTATTCTACATGTTCTGTTATTTTTGCTATGTTTGGGTTGGGTCTTAAGCCCTACCTCATTATAAAGGTATAGCCTAGCTTATTTGGTTTATTTGATGTCCAATAGACTAAAACCAAAGACTTCTAAGGAGAACCCCACCAAAAATGGGATTGAGATCCTCTGCTGTGCGGCAGAGGTGCCTTGCGGCAACGGACGGATGAGGAAGAAGGTGCCTCAAGATGCGGTCCTCCAAGATCTGCCACCGTTGGTTTTTTTATCAGGCGGCCCTTCAAAGCCGGGCACCCTACCTTGCTGCAAAGCAAGGCAAAGGTTCCGGATCCGCAAAAATGAGAGCTACTAACTTTTTTCTGACCATATGAGATAAATCTGATGCTCAAAATCGTTATCAATTAAGCAGGTGTTGATGTGACTTTCTATACTTTTTTAATCCCTTTTATCCAATACAGTAATACTTCGTGTATACTTTTTCCCTTTTTCCCATTCCTTTTTAATTCATTGCACTTCCATTGACAGCTAATCTAAGTCTTAGATTTATGATCACTTCTAAGCGTTTTATTAGATCTGAGCCTTGGGGTTCACTTTACATAGGTGTAATTCTCCTTTGAATCAATATACTTCTTCCTCCCAAAATGATTTGCACTTTTACTTTTAATTAAACAACTTGTCTAAATATAACATGAGACTAAACTTTATCATCAATCAAACTTAAAAATGGCAAATTGGAAAGGTGCATGGTGGAGAAAGACCTCATAGAGCTTGTAAGGAACAACAATGCCAAGACAGAGGGTGAGCCAAAAGGGAGTGTAGAGAAGAAAGAACAACTCCCCCCACCGCTTGCTAGGTTGTGGAGCCAGCCATAGATCCGAACTCAAACTGACTCCTTTGTAGCCTGCAAATACGTATGCACCACAGTAAAGGTCTCATCTGAAAACTTCCACAACAATTGGTAATAAATTTTAAATCTACTGAATCGCATACGCTTCTTTTTGGAGAATAGATGGGAATGATTATATACCCATTTCGCGTGCTCAGATAAGGTTGACACTTCCCCCCTAACAGCCATCTTAATCCATGTGAGCCGATTCGGCAGTAATCGCCGAAACCAAATAATACGCCACGCAGGGATAACAGACAAATTGCATTAATGTTGAATGAATTAAAAACACACTGCCCAGCATACAAATTATAAGAAAAAAAGAACCCTGTATAGGATCGTTAAATAGCAATAGTGTAACATAACATAATATAGTCGCCACATACTTATACGACGCTACCGCCGGGAAAATGGATCGGAAAGTCGTTGATAAGGAATGCCCGCTGTGAGCGGTGGTGGAGATGGCGGCAGTACGGCACTTAGTAGGAAAGAAGAAGAATCAAAGTGCAGTACACTTACTCTCCTCACTCCTCAGTACAAAACAAAAAAAAGAACAATACGGAGTAATAATTATGTCGGGGTAGCTTATATGAGCCTACTATCTCCATTTGAGAAGGAATATAGGTCGTACATTTTTTGCAACAATGACTATCCTCTCCCAGCATGCCTTGCGACAATCGAGATGCCAAGGAAAAGCTAAGCAAATTATACCGTGCAACGGGCGCACGTGAGGATGGTTGACGCAGCATGCTGCTATTTTTTTTTTTGTTGTTGTTAAAAAATGATAATAACTTTTTTATTTTTGATCCGATATTTATAAAATTTATATTAACATTTTTTATTTTTCATGATCTTTCAAATGAGACTAATATTGCTTATTTAATTTTAAGAAATTATCGAACTATTATATTAATGAGTATTGGATTATAAGAAAAATCGAATCTGTTTGGGAGATGATAGGTTTGTGAAATAGAAGATCGAATCTGTTTGGGAGTGGATCAGTGGTCTCAGTTACATTTGATAATACATTGAGTTACATCTTTTTATGAGCGAGTTACATCTTTTTATAAGCAAGTTACATCTTTTTATAAGCGAGATACATCTTTTTATAAGCAAGTTACATCTTTTTATAAGCGAGTTACATATATATACACATGAGTTGCATTTAACATGCCTGAACGCGACTTACATATATTTACACGTAAAGTTACATATTTTTACACGTAAAGTTACATATTTATACACGCGAGTTACATATTTATACACACGAGTTTTATTTGACATGTCTGAACGCGAGTTACATATTTTTTTACGTAAAGTTACATATTGTTACACGTAGAGATACATATTTATACACACGAGTTTCATTTGGCCTGACTGAACGTGAGTTACATATTTTAACACGTAAAGTTACATATTTTACACGCAAATGTTAATATGTTAAAATTACATAGGCAATATTGGTCTCATTTGAAAGATCATGAAAAATAAAAAATGTTGATATAAATTTTATAAAAATCGGATCAAAAATACAAAAGTTATTACCATTTTTAAAAAAAGAGAAAATAATATCCAATGGGTGTATGGTGCTCACCATGCACCCGTTGCACGGTATAGGCACTGTCCCAGGAGACTCCTTTCGTCTCAATTTGCAAAATTTCTTATTTTGGTTGTCCCAAAATCATTTTCCATTTTTTATTTTATACTCCCTCCGTTTTTTAAACAAGTTCCCACTTTCCTTTTCGGGTAGTTCCCAAATTAAGTTCCCATTTCCTTATTTGGCAAATTAACTACATCAAAATAGTGCAAAACAGTGCCAAACAATGTCAAAATAGTGCCAAACAGTGTCCAAACAGTGCCCCAACAGTGTCAAAACAGTAAAGTTTACCATCGGTAATTTTTTTCCCTTAAAAACTGTGAAAAGCAATGGGGAACTTGTTTTTGAAACGAAGGGAGTATATGTTAGACCGTTATTATTAGTTCATTATCATGTATTTAATTGGGCTTGTATAGTTATTAGCTTAGTGTGTTATTAAGTGCGCCAAGGATTTGTTTATTCGGCCAGTACATACTTGTATAAATTCATACTCAAGCATGAATACAACCAAGGGAAATTTTGACCCTAAATTGCTATTGCACTTTACATCATGGTATCAGAGCAGTCGTTTTAAACAGACTGCGCAGAAGCTCGGCTTCACGAAGAGAAGCAGCACCAGCATGACTGCTCTCGCCTGCCATGGCCGATCCCACTTCAACTTACTATCTCGGGTTTGGTGATCAGCCCGGAAACGTCATTACTCATGTAATCTTCAAAGGAGATAATTACGTGGCTTGGTCTCGAGCCATCACTTTATCGTTGAAAGCTCGCCGCAAATTTTCTTTTGTGGACAGAACAATCAAGAAACCTACCGAAGCTGACAAATTGCTTGACCGGGACACTGTGAATTCCATGGTGGTTTCTTGGTTACTAAGAAGCATGGAGCCCACAGTTGCTGCATTGATTCCCTTTCACGATGAAGGTCGTGCATTGTGGCTTTATCTGGAAAAGCGATATACTGTGGTGAACGGACCGCGTTTACAGCACCTTCGGGCGTCTATCACCGACTGTAAGCAGACGAAGAACACGTTAATTGATGACTACTACACCGCTCTTATGAGTCTTTATGATGAACTGAACCACCTCAAGTCGCTACACTCTTGTTCGTGCGGTTTGTGCACGTGCGACGTTGCTGGAAAATTTGCCGCTGACCGTGAAGAAGAAAAACTCCACCAATTTTTAATTGAGATTGATGATGAATTATATGGGACTGTCCGGTCCAATCTCGATCGCGCCCATAATGCATTTCTCCAAGAAGAAAACTCTTGTGCCGTTGCACAGGGAAAACTGCTGGTGGTCGACGTGCAGGCCTTTGCCGTTAACACCAAGGGACGCCAGGATTGTGCAGAATGAAATAAACTTGTTTGTACTCTTTGCAAACAGAAGGGCCACAAAGTTGGGGCTTGCTTCAAGCTACATGGTTACCCGGAGTGGTGGGTGGAACGGAACCGTGGAAAAGGAACAACTGGTGGCAGCCATGGAGGGGCGGTGCGTACTCACGCCATGTCCTCTTCCTTGGCAACTTCGGGCGTTGTTAGCAGCTCCTCCTACAGTGAGGTGAACGGGTTGAACGAGCTAAGCAAAGAACAGGTTCAGGCGCTTTTGAATTTGATTGGTGTTGACACTACTTCATGTGACCGCATGTCAGGTATAATCACTCCTTTACCTTGGATCCTTGATACCGGGGCGTCTCACCACGTCACGGGTGATTTATCTTGTCTTACACATCGTACACGTATTCATGTGTGCCCGGTTGGTTTACCAGATGGCCGCACAGTAGCTGCGGTAATAGAGGGACGTGCCCATCTCTCCAAAAATATTGTACTTGATCATGTTCTCTATGTTCCTGGCTTGAATTGTCATCTTATATCTATCTCTCAGTTGACTGATCAATTTGCCTGCATTGTCACTTTCACTGATCTATTTTATGCTATACAGGACCTATGCTCGAGGAACCTGATTGGAGTCGGTGAAAGGCGAGATGGACTCTATTACTTCCGAGGGGTACCTGCACTACATGCTCTTAGGGCTGGGTTCGGTTCGGTACCCGAACCGATTAGGGTTAACCCGAAACCGAACCGACATTTCGGTTTTCCAAAAAACCATAACCGAAACCGAACCGTTCAGAGACGGGTACCAAATTATCGGTTTCCGATAATTCGGGTCGGTTTACCAAGACCCGAATCAAAAACCGACTTTCCATTTTTAAACAAAATATTTGAACTTTTCAATACACTAGGCCAAAACTTTCAAAAGTGCAAGCCCCATTTCAGCCCAAGCTTTCAAAGTGCAAGCCCAAATTCACTTTGCCCATTAATCTCACGGATAGTGTAGGACTTTGAGGAATTGTTCCAAGAGAAAACATCACTATATAGTTGCTTTTGAGGAGGAAGTTCTCTCATTTCTCCGGTGTGGGAAAAAGTTTTGTGGAAACAAAATTGAAAGAAGCATTGAGTTTAAAATAAACACCCCAGAGACAAAATCAGATGCAGTGAGGTTTCGAACACGGGACGTCGGTGTCCCTAAATTCGCTTGGCAACCATCGCACTGGAGAGCTTTGTTTGTTCTTTTTGACTGTGTGTTCTTCATACGTCAGTTTTGTCAGATTTTGATTTGTGGCATCGTCGTCTGGGTCATCCATCAGATCGCGTTCTGAAATTATTACCCCATGTTGTTGCTAGTTCTTCTAAGAAAAAATTGAATAATGCCTGCGAGGTGTGTCCGCATGCCAAATAAGTTCATGATTCTTTTCCACTTAGTGATAATAAAGCTAGCCGTATTTTGGAATTGATTCATTGTGATTTGTGGGGTCCTTATAAAACCCCTTCTACATGCAATGCTATTTATTTTTTAACCTTGGTTGATGATTACTCACGCGTTGTGTGGGTGTATTTGTTGCGTGATAAAAAGGAAGTATTTCGGTATTTTATCTCATTTATCACTATGGTTGAAAAACAATTTGAATTGTCTGTGAAAAAGGTCCGTAATGATAATGAAACCGAATTTAGATGCATGCTGCCGTATTTTGATGCTCATGGAATTATTTTTCAAACTTCGTGTGTTGACATGCCTCAACAAAATGGCAGAGTTGAACGTAAGCATCGTCATATCTTGAACGTGGCTCGTGCTTTAATGTTTCAGGCTCACGTTCCTATTAATTTATGGGGTCAGTGTGTTCTGACGGCGGTGCATATTATCAATCGCACTCCCTCCTGTTTGTTAGGAGGAAAAACCCCGTTTGAAGTGCTAACCGGGCAGCCTCCGGATTTTGATCACTTGCGAGTGTTTGGGTGCTTGAGCTTCGCCCATAATCTGAGATCTCGTGGTGATAAATTTGTTCCTCGTAGCAGGAAATGTGTGTTTGTTGGATATCCATCCGGGGAAAAAGGGTGGAAAATGTATGATGTTGTCTCGGGTGACATTTTTGTGTCTCGGGACGTACAATTTCACGAGCACGTCTTTCCCTTTTCTGAGCAGCCCAGTGCCACACCCACAGTAGCATCCGAGCCTCATGTTCTTGTACTTGATGATTTGGCCGTATCCATGCCTTACGTAGAAGACACGACCGAATCAGTGCCTCCTCCACCTACAGATTCAGTGCATGCCGAGGACTCCCATGCAACTCCTCCCGAAACTTCTCATGCATATTCTCTTCTTGGTCGTGGTCTTCGTGCCAAATGTTCATCCGTCTTGTTGCGGGACTTTGTCACTCATCATGTTCGGAAATTGAGCCCATCTCCATCCTCATCCACTCCTATTGGTTCCTCAGGTACGCCTTATCCTTTAGCGCATTATATTAATTGTGAAAAAAAATCTACTCGTTATCGCACGTTCCTTGGAGCTATTCTTGGAGGTCATGAATCTCGTTCTTTCCGCGAGGCCATGACGGATACAGGTTGGCGGGCTTCCATACAGCATGAAATACAGGCGCTCGAGAACAACCATACCTGGGATACATATGGTTCGTCTTCCTCTGGGCAAACGGGCACTTGGGTGCAAATGGGTCTACAAAATCAAATACCACTCTGATGGGACAGTGCAACAGCTCAAGGC